ACATCTTCGGACGGTCGCGGAATTATCAACCGTGCTGCAAGCCGGACAAATATACAGCTCGATTGGTCTACGAGATCGAGCCAGAATCAGGACAACCATAAGACCGAGGCCTCTACGTCCTGGAAGATTGTATTAGATTGGATTGAACTCCTTGGGCTCATCGTTAATCCCCCTCAATCCTGTGGGAAGCGTGAATGTATGTGCATCGTCGATACTCCTTTCGAGAATACTCCCGATTTATCCTGGATGTTAAATGGTTGCCTGCTACGGTTGACTTGATTACAGCAACTCTCGCAGTGAAGTTCGCTGCTGATCAGGATGGTCCACCTAAGGCGAATTGATCTTCCTCGCTCCGAAATTCGAACCGCGCGGCACAGGTAAGATCACGTCAGGTAACAGGACTTGTGGCTCGAGCGAATAAATGTCCAGGTTCTTGCACTCCGAGCTCCGTGTTCTCGTGGTGCTTCGACTGCCAAGAGTTCCTTTGACGCGCATGTTCCCGCACCTTCGGGGAGCGTCATATGCCGAACGCCTCCAGGGGTTGAACCTGGTCTCACTCAGTCGGAGAAGGCTGAGGGGGGACCTAATCGAAACCTTCCCTATCTTGAAGGGTTTCTCTCAGGGAATCTCTTACCTACTTCAGCCAAGCGGTGTGCCCAACAGGAGACACAACATAAAGTTAGACAAGCCTCGGGCGCTCAAACGCCTGAGGGCCACCTTCTTCTCGTACCGGGTAATTAATACATGGAACAAACTGCCGCAAGAGGTAGTGGCGTTAAAAACCATTGCGGAGTTCAAACTGAAGCATGACGCATCCTGGGCATCAGCGTTCCCCGATTGTATCTGACACCGGGCCTGAGGTCGCTAAAAGCTCGTCCGTCTCCGGGTCCCCCGCTTTTAACTTTTAACTCTTAACTCTTTATATCTTACTACACATTGTTTTCTCCAACTCCCTCAGCTCCAATTTTCATTCACTGTGCACCACATTTTACTGAAAGTTCTCAACATACAGCACCACCACTTTTAGGATATGCTTCTTCTCCCAACACACCTTTTACTCTGAGTATCTCGGAGCGGTTGGTTGCGAGCTGTTGCTTTGATCATGGTAAAACCTCAGACGTGTNTGCTCCCAAGCTCATTGGTGCAAGAAACTGGACTGCTTCTGGCTCCGCCGCAAGTCTTGTGATCTGTCCTGTCCTGTCCTGTCCTGACCCAGCTCGTTCGAACATACCGCCAAAGCTAGGTTGTTGCAAACTTTTCTCAACAACGGTGGATTGGGGAATCTTCGAAGGAGTTCCAGGATGTCGTTTAGATACTACTGCACTCAGTCATTCACGATATTTCTTGATCTGGTCTTTCTCTTATTACAACCGGAGTCCCTCAGGGATCTGTTCTCGGCCCTCTTCTCTTC